CCTAACCTCCGTGTCAGAAATAAACCAAAGCTCTGTTCAAACATAAGCCTATTTTTAGCATTTGATTTTAACGGAGTTTAAATAATGGCTCGGTACAACCGAATACATTAGCTAAATGTTCACAGGTCAATTACTGAAAGTGCTTTAAAATGAGCTGGTGGAAAAATCAAGCCTTGCGAGCTACCAGCTTACCTCGTCTAATTGGCGCAGGCGCTCCTTGACACTCCGTAGGGCCTCGGCCATCTCAGCCTCTCGCATTCGAGAGTGTACCAGATCCGTCTGCAGTTGGTTAATCATGTCCAACACAAGGCTGTCCTTCTCAAGCCCACGATCGGCAGATGCAGTAGCATGGTTGCTAATAGCATTGGTGGTAGCGCAGCTAAGTCCGTTACCTTCGGAGCGTGCAGGACCGCCTAGGATTGGTGGACCACCAAAGGTCATGGAAGCGATTAGTCTGGGGCTTCCAGAGTAGGTGACCTGCTGTATAGAGCAACTGTTCGTTATGAGAATGCCACTAAGTTCAGATAAAGCATAAATCAGCAATAAATCAAGCGTGAAGAAACACATTATTTAATGGTTTTGTTCATAAGTGAAGCGCATTTTGTGCTGTACTCAATAACAATTATGGAGCTCAAAAACAATCAGATATAACTCATTATGTCATGACATTAGTTCCAGTGTTCAACAAATAGAAAATGAAGTTAAGCTAGATAATGAAAGGATAAGTGAGCTCGAAAATAGGCCCTTAACTGAACTAATTATCAGTAAAAATGGAGAATAATTGAGTAGAATGAGAGTAATTCGAAACAGTTGGAAGCTGTAAGGGTGGCCATACCTTCAAGCCATGACTACATAATAATCTGATTAAAACAACCAAAATGGTCATTTTGCTAAACTTCTCATTTTGTTTGAAAAGCCAGGACAACGCGATTCGTAAATTGTCCTGCCAGGAAACCGAAAACAGATTGCTTTGTCTGTGCGCAAAAGTTCTTGGTGCACCAACCTGAAATCCCGATGAATAAGTTCCGAGTTTTCGTAAATCCTGTTGAAGAAATTATAAGAGTAAGAAATCATCTCTTACGAAAAACCACCAAAATACCTTTTTAAAAAGGTTCATATAAGTGGTCTGACCACGTTCTAGCAATTTGATCGTGTTGCCAGGTTGACCGAGTTAGCTATATATTGTAAGACTCTTCTGTTATAGTATTTATGATAATTCCAAGCATTGTACCGTGGACTTGGTACATTCCCAGACGTTTCGTGGGCATTGTCAGTGAGTCTTACCACTCTCAGCACCAAGCCACAACTCGTCAAAGAAACGAGTGAAGTCAATCCTTTGACCAACTCTCTTTCGAGCGGTTGTGCTATCCTGGTACAGCTACCCATTCCATACCCTCTAATCTCACAATTTTCCTTGACGAGTTGTAATTTCGTTATGACACTATCAAGGCTAACTGACGATGTTGACGAAACGTCTGGTAATGAACAAAGTCTACGGTCCAACGCTAGGAATTATCATAACTACTACAGCAGAGAACACAACCAAATTGCGAAAACGAGATCAGACCGCTTCTATACACAGCATATTGGTCTTCATATCTAGTAAAAAAGGTGGTCAATTGCAATTATACTTATCTTCATTACCTAATTTTGCAATTAGAAAGATAATGTAGGAATGCAGACAACTACCCCTAGTGGTTTAGTGATCCGGCACATTTTTGCAAATGATGGTTTCTGACTCCGACGATGTTTGTCACATGACGATATTAACTTATTTAGGAACTCTCCAAACATGCTCTACTTTGATAACCTAGGTATCGTTGATGGCCAGTCTGGAATGGATGAAGATATAAATCTTTTGGGTTTAGTGAATGCCATTGTAGAAGTTAAGTATGAAAAAGAAGTATCACGAAGGACTTGCCAGTCCTTGCTCACCCTTTTCATTTGCTGATCGCTGGAGCGTCGCGAAATTTCGGTTCGG